GCCAGCCAGCCAACCAACCAACCAACTAACCAGTCAACCAAACAAACAACCAGCCACCAGCCAGCCAGCCAGCCAATCAAGCCAACCAACGAACCTATCAGCAAACGAACCTCGACAATAATTTGAAGACTGTTTATAGGTTCTTTGGTAGCAACCCGCCATTTTAAAAGATACTGAAAACACTGGTCTGATGTATTTCCGCTTGTTATCGTGAAATGTCTTGGAGTACCTGAATAGTTCATTATTAGGATCATCATCATCATCATCATCATCATCACCATCACCATCATCATCATCATCATCATCATCATCATCGTCATCATCATCAGCACTGCATCATCATCATCATAACTCACCGCTAACGATAACGGCTTGTCTAACGCTACCCAGTTCATTGGTGGCTTCGCAAATGTAATTTCCCGCCGTTTTTTTTGTCACGTGATGAAAGGTCATGTGACTCCGAGTTAAATTATCATCATCATCATCATCAGTAGCACTGTCCTCATCATCATCATCATCATTGCCAACATTATGGACGATATTTTCGCTGCGATTATTATTATTATTGTTGTTGTTGTTGTTGTTGTTGTTGTTGTTGTTGTTGTTGTTGTTGTTGTTGTTGTTGTTGTTGTTGTTGTTGTTGTTGTTGTTGTTGTTGTTGTTGTCATAAAAATGACGACGACGACGATGATGAGTAAGACTCTCGCCATCATCATCGTCGTCACTCACATCATCATTATTGGTTGTTGTAATAGTAGAACTGTCGTTATTATTATTATTATTATTATTATTATTGTCATTAACATCATTATCGTCGTCGTCGTCTTCATCATCACTGTAAACTTTGAACCACTTAACAACGGCTAGCGGATTGGAAGCGACCACACAGACGATTGTGAAGCTGTCGCCATGAGCGATCAGTTGGTCCTCACTTATCTGCGTTATTCTTGGTTGGACTGTTGAGCGATTGATTGAATGAATGAATGAATGGATGAATGAGTGAATGAATGAATGAACGAACGAACGAACAAACGAACGAACGAACGAACGAACTAACGAACGAATGAATGAATGAATGTGGTATTGTTGCCATGTCTAACTAAGTGATCTTCGATTATTTGTGTTATTTTTAATTGAAATATTTTTTAACCGGTTGGTATTTTGAATGATTGATCGAATGATTGACAACAACGCCCAACAACAACAACAATAACAACAACAACAACAATAATAAAAACATCAATAATAATAATAATAATAACAATGGCAGATAAAACATACAGGCAATATTAATTGTGAACGTGAACTCGTCTACATCGCCGAATTCATTGGAAGCCTTGCACACATACTTGCCTGGCAAAGAATATTTTTATGATTAATTTTGTTACTACTACTACTGCTGCTGCTGCTGCTACTACAACTACTGCTGCTTCTCATAAAGTAGTAGTAGTAATAATAATGGTAGTAGTTATAGTAGTAGTAGTAGTAGTAGTAGTAGTAGTAGTAGTAGTAGTAGTAGTAGTAGTAGTAGTAGTAGTAGTAGTAGTAGTAGTAGTAGTAGTAGTAGTAGTAGTAGTAGTAGTAGTAGTAGTAGTAGTAGTAGTAGTAGTAGTAATTGTTGTATCCTAATTTAATGATTGTATTTTCTAATTTTAAAATACCTTTATGATCTTTGGTTATATTGAACAGCGTATATGATGACGTGTTCGTTGCCAAGGTGGTTATTGCGTCATCATGTTTTGAATTCTGCAGTAGGGATGGGCGAGTATATTTACTTAAATTAAATTTAATTAACTTTCTGTTTATATTGCTTTTTCTGTTATTCATTTATTTATTAGTTCGTCCGACATTCATTAATTCATCATTCATTCATTCACTACTTAATTGCTAACAACAACAAAATTATTCCTACTACTACTACTATTACTAACAAAACAGCAATCATCATCATCATCACCTGTTTTTTGTACCACGTGATCACTGGTCTGGGATTTCCCGCGGCTTGGCACTCCATTCTAAAAATATCGTCGCCTTCGTTCAGCGTTGTGATTGGTTGGGAGTGGGGGGGGAAGGTTCGAGTTATTTTTGGCGGGTCTGCCATGATGATGATGACGGCGATGATGATGATAATGATGATGATAACGATGATGATGATGACTAATCGTAAAGACGTTAGCGATTATATATATAGTTCTTTTTTTCAACGATAATATCATCACGCCATCATCATCATTATCTCCATAGCTACTACTATCATCATCACACGCACACATACACACAA